TGCTCTTACTGCCTATTACAGGGAAAACCAGCTGATCCCTAATCCATCTAAAACACAGACATATGCCTTTCATCTTAAGAACAGAGAAGCTTCCTGAGCTCTGAGGATTATTACCTGGGAAGGAATCCCACTGGAGCATTGCAGCACACCCAAATACCTGGGAGTCACTCTGGACTGTGCCCTGTCCTACCAGAAGCACTGCTTGAACATCAAACAAAAAGTGGGTGCTAGAAACAATATCATACGAAAGCTGACTGGCACAACCTGGGGATCACAACCAGATACAGTGAAGACATCTGCCCTTGCGCTTTGCTACTCTGCTGCTGAGCATGCATGCCCAGTGTGGAACACATCTCACCACACTAAAACAGTGGATGTGGCTCTTAATGAGACATGCTGCATTATCACGAGGTGTCTGCGCCCTACACCACTGGAGAAATTACACTGTTTAGCCGGTATTGCACCACCTGACATCCGCCGGGAAGTAGCAGCCAATAGTGAAAGGACCAAGGCAGAGACATTTCCAGCTCATCCCCTGTTTGGACACCAGCCAGCACTTGGTAGTTGATTAAATGTCCCTTGGCCAGTATCTGGCCCCTTGGAGTGCCTCTGGTGTTGCCGCAAGGAGGTCCTCCATTGTGCCTGTGGCAGGGCTCAGGTTGCATTGCAGCAGGTGGTCAGTGGTTGGCTCTTCTCCACACTCGCATGTCGTGGATTCCACTTTGTGGCCCCATTTCTGAAGGTTGGCATCTCGTGGTACCAGAGCGCAGTCTGTTCAGCGCCTTCCAAGTTGCCCAGTCTTCTGTGTGCCCGGGGGGAGTCTCTCATTGGGTATCAGCCATGGATTGAGGTTCTGGGTTTGAGCCTGCCACTTTTGGACTCTCACTTGCTGAGGTATTCCAGCGAGTGTCTCTGTAGATCTAAGAAAACTATTTCTAGATTTAAGTCGTTGACGTGCCAGCTGATACCCAAACAGGGGATGAGCTGGAGATGTCACTGCCTTGGTCCTTTCACTATTGGCTGATACTTCCCGGCGGATACAGCAATAAAATATAATGAAAATAAAAACAGGGAAAAAAACAATGCAAAGTAAAGACACAATGCAATATAAAAAATACAATAATTGACCACAGTGGGCAGGGCCAGTTGCAAATATGAAAAAGTTTAAAAACACTGGGTGAGATGAACAATATAGTGTATCTGGGAGGAGGGTCAAATGGGATGATGCAATGGGGTTTAATTGCACTAGAGGATTAAAAAAAGTGCATCCAAGGGCGTTTCATGCAGGGTTTGGTCAAGGTCAGGAATTGTTGTTCATTCATTGAAGGCACACTGGAACAGCCAAGTTTTTAGACTCTTCCTGAGGACTGCCAGGGTGGGGGCTTGCCTAATTTTTCCGGGGAGTGAGTTCCAGATCTGAGGGGCCACCACAGAGAAGGCCCCCTCCCTCATCCCCACAAGTTGCGCTTGCGACGAGGGCGGGAGCAAGAGAAGGGCTTCTCTTAAAGATCGAAGGGATTGAGTAGGTTCGTAGAAGGAAATGCGGTCATGCAGGTAGGCGGATCCCAAACCATTCAGGGCTTTGTAGGTAAGAACCTGCACCTTGAATTGGGACCGGAAGATAAACGTTAGCCAATGGAGCTCCTTGCACAGGGGAGTAGACCGCTCCCTGTAATTTGCACCAGTTTAGTCATCTGACTGCTGATTGTTGGACCAATTGAAATTTCTGGGCTGTCTTGAAGGGCAGCTCCATGTAGAGTGCTTTGCAATAGTTGGATGGGGTCGCACTCCCCCTGAAGACGTAGGTTTGCAGCTTGGGTGTGATCCTGGACTCATCGCTGAGCCTGGAGCCCCAGGTTTCGGCGGTGACCAGGGGAGCATTTGCACAGTTAAAGCTTGTGCGCCAGCTGTGCCCGTACCTTGGGAAGTCTGACTTGGCCACGGTAGTCCACGCTCTGGTTACATCCCGATAGACTACTGCAACACTCTCTACGTGGGGTTGCCTTTGAAGATGGCTCGGAAGCTCCAACTAGTCCAACGCTCGGCAGCCATGATTTTAACAGGAGCGGAACGAGCATACAACCCCCCTGCTGTGCCAACTCCACTGGCTACCGATCTGCTACCGGGCTGAATTCAAAGTGCTGGCGTTGGCCTTTAAAGCCCTAAACGGTTCCGGCCCAAGCTACCTATCCGACCGCATCTCTGCCTATGAACCCACCAGGACTTTGAGATCTTCCGGGGAGGCCCTGCTCTCGATCCCGCCTGCTTCTCAAGCACGGCTGGCGGGGACGAGAGATAGGGCCTTCTCGGTGGTGGCCCCTCGGCTGTGGAACGCCCTTCCTACGGACATTAGACTAGCACCATCTCTAATGGTATTCCGCAAAAAAGTGAAGACCTGGCTGTTTGAGCAGGCGTTCGAATAATTAGTGCAATGATTGGTTAATGAACACTGGAATGGAACAATGGATGACGAATCTGGATCATGTTTTTGATGATGAGACGACAGTGAATGGTTATTGTAGTAATTGTTTATTAATTGTGTAATGTGTTAGGTTGTTAACTGTTTTTACACTGTAGCATTGAATTTTTGCTGTTCTTATTTGTTGTGAACCGCTGTGAGTCGCCTTCGGGCTGAGAACAGCGGTATAGAAGTCAGGTAAATAAATAAATAAATAAATAAATAATAGTCCAATCTAGAGGTAACTAAGGTGTGGACCACCGTGGCCATCAATGTTAATGTGACGAGGTCCTTACTCTCCTCTTTGTTGTAGGAAAGCCGAAGAGTACCTACGCCTCTCCCAAGTGAAATGCGGCCCTTTACTGACCCAGGTATCCGCCACGAGTCGTGCCGTCATCTGCCTGGACTTGGCTGCGGCCTTCACAAAGAACCCCGTGGACAAGGTAAACAAAACCAACAAAATGAATTCTTATTGTACTATACTATTATATTGTAATATTATTAGTAAGATTACATGTAATATAAAATATATAATTATAATATTGTATGATTATTATTAGTTTTATATTGTATTACCTTATAATATTATAAATATTATATGTATATGCATTATATTATATTATTAGCCTAGTACAGGAGACAAGGTGGAGCTGTCTTCCTGGTCCCCTCTCTCTTCTTACATATCTTACATATGGATTACCGTATATACTCAAGTATAAGCCAACCCGAATATAAGCCGAGAACCTAATTTTACCACAAATAAACTGGGAAAACGTATTGACCCGAGTATAAGCCGAGGGTGGGAAATGCAGCGACTACTGGTCAATTTCAAAATAGAGATAGATACCAATAAAATAATTGAGGCGTCAGTAGGTTACATGTTTTTGAATATTTACATAAACCTGTAATTAAAATCCAACTCTGACTAAACCATTATTCTAACCTTCTTCAATGTAAAAAGTGCTTATGTATCCTTCCGATAATACTGTAAAATAATAAATTTAATAATATTAATAATGAAGTAAAACAATGGAAATGTAATAATAACAATAATAATAGAATATATAAATGTAATAATATCAGAGTAATAATAATAATAATAGTAAAATAATAAATGCAATAATAATAATAATAATAATTACAACAACAACAACAGATTAAAATAATAAATAACCTTAACTCGAGTATAAGCTGAGAGGGACTTTTTCAGCTTAAAAAGGGGCTGAAAAACTAGGCTTATACTTGAGTATATACAGTATATTCTATTCTATTATTGGCATAGTACAGGAGACAAGGTGGAGCTGTCTTCCTGGTCCCCTCTCTCTTCTTACGTATCTTACATATGGATTATATTATATTATAATATTAGCATAATACAGGAGACAAGGTGGAGCTGTCCTCCTGCTCCCCTCTCTTCTTACATATCTTACATATGGATTATATTATATTATAATATTAGCATAATACAGGAGACAAGGTGGAGCTGTCCTCCTGCTCCCCTCTCTTCTTACATATCTTACATATGGATTATATTATATTATAATATTAGCATAATACAGGAGACAAGGTGGAGCTGTCCTCCTGCTCCCCTCTCTCTTCTTACATATTTTACATATGGATTATATTGTATTATATTATTAGCATAGTACAGGAGACAAGGTGGAGTTGTCTTCCTGGTCCCCTCTATCTTCTTACATATAGATTATATTATATTATATTATATTATATTATATTATTAGCATAATAAAGGAGACAAGGTGGAGCTGTCCTCCTGCTCCCCTCTCTCTTCTTACATATTTTACATATGGATTATATTGTATTATATTATTAGCATAGTACAGGAGACAAGGTGGAGTTGTCTTCCTGGTCCCCTCTATCTTCTTACATATAGATTATATTATATTATATTATATTATATTATATTATTAGCATAATAAAGGAGACAAGGTGGAGCTGTCCTCCTGCTCCCCTCTCTCTTCTTACATATTTTACATATGGATTATATTATATTATTAGTATAGTACAGGAGACAAGATGGAGTTGTCTTCCTGCTCCCCTCTCTCTTTTTACATATGGATTATATTATATTATTAGCATAGTACAGGAAACAAGGTGGAGCTGTCTTCCTGGTCCCCTCTCTGTTCTTACATATCTTACATATGGATTTTATAATGTATATAATAGAAACACTTTTGATCAATATACATTTTAATACTGTTCCATTTTGCCCCTTTCTCCTAGGGTCCCTTCCACACAGCCCCACACCCCAAAACATCAAGGCTGAAAATCCCACAACATCTGCTTTGAAATGGGTTATCTGAGTCCACACTCAGATAATTTAGGATTTTCTGCCATGACACCCTGAGATACATTTATAATCCTGGAACAAAAACTGTGTTATATAGTGTATTTTACAGTCCTGGCTGGGAAACCTTTGTTTTCATTTTCTGCAGAGTTATGTGGTGACCCTCTCTGGCCTGAACAAGGCCACGTACCAGAGCTCCTTGAGGTCCTTTGAAAGCCTCCTTGGCCTGCGTTCCAGCCTCAGCCTCCGGGATTTGGCCGTCCAGTTCTGCTGCCTGGAGGCGGTGAACGTGGCATCGAAAATACTGAAAAGGTAGGCATCATTTCAAAGGTGGTTCCCAACCCAAACCTTGTTCAGAAATACAAATGGGATTGGCAGAAAGAATGGCAGTGTAAAATGTTCATGTTTACGCCAGACAGATAAGGGCAACCAAAATGGTCAAAGGTTTGGAAACCAAAACCTATGAGGAGAAGCTGATTTATTTCGTACTAGCCGTCCCCTGCCACACGTTGCTGTGGCCCGGTCTGTGTATATGTGTTTTGTGTGTGTATATGCATGTTTGAGTATATATGTGTAGTTGTAATGTACTTTTTGTTTTTTTAGTTTTTTAAGTCTCTTCTGCTGTGTTTTTCAGTGTTTTTATGAGTGATGGTCACTCATTGGTCTGATAGGTCCAAATTTGGTGTCAATTCATCCAGTGGTTTTACTTACTTACTTACTTAGGCGATCCCTCGTTGGACGAGTAAGATGGTCTTCCATTATGGATTTCCTTGTGGGTCCGTATGTGGCTGTGGAGCCCTATTCTTGCTCTGCATCTTCTTCCGCAGTGAGGGCATTGGTTTCCAGGTGGAAGGCGGTCCCGGTCGGGGTTGGCTTGACGCGCCTTCCTCCTGGCACGTTTCTCTCTTTTGCCCTCCACTCGTGCCTCCTCAAATTCTGCAGCACTGCTGGTCACAGCTGTCCTCCAGCTGGAGCGCTCAAGGGCCAGGGCCAGTGGTTTTAGAGTTATGTTAATCCCACAAACGAACATTACATTTTTATTTATATAGATCCAAAGCATTGCATAAATCAGTATATAACTGATAGAAATAGAAGGAGCGCAGAGGGCTAAATATCCTTTGACCAAAAATGGGCAACAGCAACGGCATTGTTTATAGCCTCCAACAGTTCTTCTTCTGTACATGAGGCAGGGCAGGAGTTCTTTGAGTTATGTAGCCAAAAGAAGAGAAAAAGGAGGTGACATGATAGCCATTTTAAATATCTGAAAGGATGTCTTCTTGTTGTGGTTGTTTTGTATCAAAAGCATCGCACAAATTAGTATAAAATCTATATAAATAAATAAATAAATGTAATGTTCGTTTGTGGGGTTAATAGAACTCAAAAACCACTGGACGAATTGACATCAAATTTGGACACAAGACACCTAACAACCCAATGTATGTTCTTCACTCAAAAAAGTAGATTTTGTCATTTGGAAGTTGTAGTAGCTGGGACTTATAGTTCACCTACAATCAAAGAGCATTCTGAATCCCACCAACCATGGAATTGAACCAAACTTGGCACACAGTTCTCCCATGACCAACAGAAAATAC